CCCACCTTCTTCTTCTTCTTCCAAGAGAGTTTTCTCGTCGTGAAGAAAACTTCCTCGAAAAACTCTTCTCGGTTATTTTTTTTTCTTTTGTTCTGTTGATTCTTCTATGTCAGGTAAATGAAGAACTTTTTTTAAAGTTCTGTTTCTAATCTGTTTTCAGCACTCAAGTTGCTCTGAAGAATTGGAGATTTACTTTGATGCTAACATCGTATTTGACTATTCGTTTCTATACGCTATAGACATTTGGCAAAATACTTCTAGGGCTTTATCGCACTTGATAAGGGAAATGTCCTTTCTATTCCCTCAAACATTTGCGTTGAATAGAGATTCTCACTATAAGTTTTTTTGTGCAGTGCACCTTTAAAAGTCACGAATATTCATTTTGGAATTTCGTTCCTCGAGTTGGAAAATTCTGCTGGTGGTTGTGGGGCCATAATATCAGCCATGTTATTTTCTCACTCAATGAACTGATGACCGTTTCAGTAAAGGCTAGTCCGCTTAGAGCAGTATTCCCGCAACATTTTATGAAGGTGGTGAAGGCCTCGTCCAGTTGCACGCCGTTGTTTGGTTACTGTGAGTGGTGGTTTGGAAATCTCACATTCGTCTTTTTCATGACGTTAGCGTTGAACGACAAGCATTGAAGGCACTCTCACTCCGTACATGCAAACGACGATGGCATTTGTATGCAGTATGCTTACGTGGCGGCGGCGCGCGTTTATTGTGGGAAGGGAAGGCACGTCGCGACGATCGCTCATCGGGCGACCGTCATCGAGCGCCATCGTCGTCCGTCCGTCTATCCATCCATTCGGCCAATTTGGCTTCGCGTCTACTGAGATGTTCGTCTGTGCGCGTCCTGCCTGCAACTTTTTGCGACGAAGAATTATCGTCGTCGTCGGCGGATCGTGATGTCTGTCAGGCCGACCGTGCGTCGTCGGCACATCGCGACGAAGGAATGGACGATGGTGGGATGACCTTGTGCACGGCCGGTTTGCGCCACCGCGTCCCCGTAGCTGCTGCGCCGGCAGCGACGGCCCTACCACGCAGACGTTTCTTACGGCGGCTCCATTGATTCTCAGGCTTTGAGAGAGGTGTTGCGACGCTTTCTTTGTACCTCTGAAGTTTCATCAGACGGATAGAGTCACTGCATATGGGCAATGCTACAATTAGCGTAGCTGATTCAGTAAGGTATTGAATATCATCAAATCGCCCCCATATACCAAATTTGCACTTCTAGTCCTTCGGAAGATGTTTCAACAGTTTCCCAAGTAGAATCCGTCTCTGGGCTGAACTGACGTGTTGTCATGAACAGTTTTTGTGGGTATTTTACTTTTGCCCAGACATGTTCTCACATGTTGACCTTGCAGAGTTTTCCGGGGTAATCACCGTGTGTTTCTTTTACCGTGTTTCGAACGCGATCATACGTGTGGGTACGTGTTTTTGACACGCTATGAACGCTTTGGTCTGTCGCGTTCCTTTTCTCCCCACAACTTGCTGTGGGAACGATGGAAATCGTCGTTTCTGAATGCAAAGTGCTTATCGGTATGCCGTTATGCTCACTCATACATCACGTTACAGTATGGCCGCCGTTGGGCCTCCTGGACACCCGGCTGGCACTCCACAACCGCCGGCTGCACCATTCTATGGTCAACCAGCACCAATGTATCCCAATGGTCCGGCCCGTCTACCGGGTAAGTGAATAGTATGCGAATATAAAATACTGTTCAGACCTTTCGGTCATCCATTTTACGAGAAAATGTTTCAGCTGGATATCCCGGAGGCTATCCTTATCATCCTGCTCATCCTAGCGTTCCACCAGGACATCCAGGTGGGCCGCCTCCTCAACAACCGCCACAATTTGCCTCTGCTCCACATCCGGCTGCTCATCCTGCTCATCCGCAGCATCAGCAATACATACAGCAACAACAAGTGAGTTTCGCGATTGTTGTTTTTTTGTTCTCATTGGTGATGTTTATTTCGTTGTTTTTTTCTTTCGTTCATTCATTTTCAAAAAATTTATACTCACTTTTGTCCATGGCATCAATGGCGTAAGAGAATCGGATGTCATTAGATATAGTAATGATTCCTTCATTCGTTCATTATGAAAGATAAGCTCACCCAGGATGTTAGGTAACAATGTTAGGTGTGGAGTTAGTGTTCGCTGGCATATCGGGTTCCGTGAATTATTAACCTTGCGGAACCATCAATTTAATATACCTGGTTCCATTTTCTGATAGGTGATGAAAAAATTCCAGGGTTTTTTTTTTCGTTTTCAATTTCCTCTCCCTTTTTTGCAGTTGAAGCAGGATTTCAATCACATCTTGGAGGCGCTATCCGGGGTCCTGGTAGTAGCTAAGAATTCACTCATCAAGTTCCATACATTTTTCTTCGATTTTTTCAACGTTATGAACAAAGTACATCTGACTAATATGTACCCTTCTTTCATCACCCAAAACGGCTCTCCATGATTTTACAAGAAAGTTTTCTTTACTTTGGACCACTTGCTTTCTCAATATCATTTAGTTTCTTTCAAATTTTATATCATTGAGCTTCTTCCAAATTTTGACCTTTCCAACACTTTTGTTTTCCTTCTATCGTTTTCGCCTTTCTAGATGTGGCATCAACGAAGTGGTTACCCTGCCCCTGGTCAAATGCCTCCACAAGCGGCTAGGTATGGTTATCCGCCGAGGATGCCTCCACCCCAAGGCGCACCCACTCAACAGAGTACACCGTCGCCGGGAGCTAACAAAATGAGAGTAAGTTCCACTGCTTTTTTAAATATGAGCTTTCTTTTTCAATCGTTAGCTTCTAAAAGGGGCCGCATGTGTTTCAGTATGCCCCACAACCACCACAGCCACAACCTGCTGTCCCACCGCAACAACAGCAGTACCCTGCGCGACCACCTCAGATAACCGCCTCGTACCCACCTGTGGCTGCTCAGACTGCTCCAGCTCCGGCTCCTCTCGTTCCGCCCTCGATGTCATTCTCTCATCAACACCATTTCCCTCATGGTAGTGTCGAAGCAACTGTCATAAGCCAGAAACGGCGGCGTAAGATCATGGCAAGAGAGCTGATCAATGTTAGTTTCTTTCTCTGTTAATCTGTTCAAGATCTAATCTTCTTTTGAGTGGAATTGGCGTTTCGTTTAGGCTACTCCTCGACGTCTGATCATGGCTCTTCGTAGTGGTTTGGAGGCTGAGGCAATCTGGGCTATCAATGCTTTGAACGTACTTCTATACGACGACACTAATCCACACCCTAGCCTCAACCAGATGCCTGGGCTTCTGAACGTGATCATTGAGCATTTCTGGGCGACTCTATCTGTTCTTTTTCCAGAGACATTCCCTGTGAGCTTTTACTTAGCGGAGGTTTTTACTCAGACTTGTCTATGCAGTAATGAGATCATCTAAATTCGTTTGAACTTTGTTTTGTTTAAGCTCGGAGAGCCGTCGCAGCTTCAAGTTACCGAAGGAGACTTTGATGCTCTACGTTTGCCTTTCTTGACAAATGGGAATGCTCGCGAACCCGTGAAGCAGCCCGTAGCAGTAAGAAATCCCGATCATAAGAAAAATTATAATAAGGTAAGCGTTTGAGTTTTGTGCTTGATTAACATCATTATATGTTGTACCTCAGTGTTCGCGTACGGGAAGGAAGATCAAAGTGCTGGATGCAGAAATGCCTGAGTTGCTTAAAAGGAAGCTGATGTTAGAGGAAGGACCAAGTAATCTGCCTATAGATGGTGAGTGTTCATGGAAGGTTTTTCCTAAAAGCGGAAGATTCTTTTTTTTTTTTCAGAAACACTCACTGCAGAGTATGTTGAGGAAAGAGTAGAACTAGGGCTCGGTGGTGGTCTAGCGGAGCGAGTAGCTCTCCGTCTTCGGACTGAATGGCATGCTTCAAAAACGCAAAGTCGAGGAAGATTTAGTTGTAAGGAAGATCAAAATGAAGGTTACGGTGAAACGAAACCTAGCGGTTCGGCAGCCATCAAACAGGAAACAAAAGAAGAAGTTGAAAAGGTATGTTTTTACAAGCAATAATTTTAACATTGCATTTGTAATTCACTGAGAAAAAAAAATTCGTAACTACAGTGAAAATTCAAGGTTCCGGAAATTGTTATGCTTCGTCGAGGACGAAGCAGTGAGACTTCTGATGGGCCGCATGACTATGAAATTCGATGGCCTAGAGCTACTGCGCTAGCTGATCGCAACGATACGTTACAACGATTCGTCAGTATCTTCTATTCGTTTACCATTGAGCTTGTTCCTATTTGTTTTTACAAACGTTCATTTTCATCTGATGGTGATTGTTCTTCGAGCATTTATTCGTTTTAGGCTTTCAGTAATCGTGTAAATGGCTTATGATACCTAAAATGTGCCCAATTTTAGTCTCTTCGTGCCTTGGCATTGTCAAACATATTACGCGGTTTCTCATTTCTTCCTGGATGTGAGCATTTGCTCTGTACTCATAGTGGACTTTTGTACATTTTGGGACGATTCCTGCAGCTGATGGTAGTTGAAACACCTGTTCAACGTGTAAAGCCGGCGCCAAAGATCGAAGTGGTATGTCGTGTTCACTCGGTTTCATTTCTATTTGAAGTGGACGTCAGTTTTATTTTCTCACGTTTCGTTTCTTTTTGTCAAAAATACTCAATACTTGTACATGTTCTCTTTCATTCATCATTTGTTTATGTTCTACTTATGTTTATCCTATCATTAAGTTCTTACCATTAAGTTCATTTTTTCCTAGTTAGAAGACTAAGGTTAAGCATTTGCATTAAAAAAGTCAGTCTTCTTTGCAGGACGCCCCGTTGCCGGAACCTGAGTCGTATGAAACAGCGAGAACGCGAGCATTGTCACTGCTGGATTGCGACGACTCTCAGCAAGTTTTGCTAGTTGAAACTGCGAATCAGCTCAGAGACGATGCTTTTGTGATGCTTTGCCATATGAGTGTAGCGGTGAGCTTTTTTTCCTAGAACAGTACTATTTTTTGGGTGCTATTGGTGAGAATGTTGCCTTCAACAACATGATTCGAACAACGTTTTTTCGGTTTCCAGCTTGACCTTTTCGATGTGCCTGATCGGCTGGCTTATCCAATCTACGACGGAATACTGCACTGGTGTTCGTCAAGCGTTCCCGAAGCTACAGATCCTATCCCTCCCGCGGCGGTCTCACCAAGGTTTCTTGCTGGCATTTTTCGTTGTTGACTGTCTCTGTTTTCTAAACTTTTTTTTTGACGTATTTATTTTCTAAAATATTGATGAATCTCAAAGTGTGCTTTCTGTGGTCAGATTAATGTTGTTCAAAACACTTCTGACGGCTATTGTTAGTCCAATTTCAAGAGGTTGTTCAGAAATTATGCACTCGAAATCATGTGCAAGATGTCGGTCTTGGAACGAAACGTGGACATGTTGCTATCCACTGGAGCATGGCCACGAATAGAGAAAATTGTACGCATGCTTGCGAAAATGCTGAGTATGAGCGAGGAAACTCACCACCGGTAAGTGTAAACCTAATTACTGTTGTTTAGATTTTTTACATTCACCTTTTTCTTTTTTCTTCATGATTTTTTTTTCAGTGAATTTGCCATCGTTATCTTGAATGCTTTCTGTAACGCATCTGAGGCAGTTTGTTATGTGGCTGCCATGCAATCGCCTACAATAGCAAATCTCGTCTCGTTCATCGAAACATCGGACCAAAGCATGCACCAGGTATGAACTAGATACACCCGCTCAGATTGATGTAATGCTTAGGGTTGAAGGATTGGTCATCATGTGGTTCACTTTCACATTGTAGTGTAACCCACCATAGGTAATGCAAACGCATGGTATGCCTGCGCTGCGTGATAACCCGGAGATGATGGGCACCTCTGTGGGAATGCTGCGACGAGCTGCTGCGATGTTACGTCTTCTAGTCAAAGTTCCTGATGCTTACCGCGTATATGCTAAGTTTCAGCAACGGCTACTTCAGTTTACTATGAGCCAGCTGGTAAGTGGTATTGTTTTGCTGTCATCAATACCTATTTTATCATACAATTGAATAGTTATGCATTTGTAATTTATCTTTTAGAGTGACAAATGACAGTTCTGAGTTTCAGATGGACTCTCGAGTAGCGGGTATGATAGCTGACGCTTTATATGAGATTCAAGCGCTGCTCGGCAAGGAAAAACCGGCCAATGTAAATACGGATGAGGCTAATCACAATCATAATGGAGGTATGCAGTCTTACTCGATTTGCATTCGCGAATATTTCTACCAGAAATTAGGGTTTGCATTAATTTTGAGTGTGTTTATACTGTGTAATTTAGTAGCTGATTGCTTAGTAATCGTATTTTTGGAGTTCTGCGAAGGAAAGTGATTTTCGAGCTTTTGCAATGTCATTCTCTTTGATACAAATATCCCGCTGTTTCAACCTCTTTCACTAGTATGTCGGAGGCCTTTTTCTTTCGAGAGCTCCTGCTTAATGCATTCGTAAATTTTCATATTCTGTTTCCATCAAGCAGTCCTAGGCGTAAAGCGAGCATATTGCGCTTTTGGTTCGAATGATTTAGTGAGTGTGATCGCAGCGATGAAGTCTATTTAATACAAAAAATGTAAGAGTTCTGTCAAGGCTTCCCTTATTCTCTATGATAATCTTGTAGTAAGTTAGATAGTCGTTGTAGTGGACATATACTGTAGAATCGGTAGGACTCGCTGCAGTTTTAGCAGCCAACTCAAAAAAAAATATTTGAAAATCATGTCTGGTAAATTACGATGGAATCTGAAATCACGATGCTCTGTTTATCGTTGGGTAATGCTTTCGCAGTCTGTTGTATAATGAATTCACATCTTATTTATTTGGTTAGCTTTTCGCCGTATTTCATCTTTTGACTCTTTTATCTGTTATTTTGTTTTAGATACATCAGAAGTGGTGAAATCTGAGAATACTGCGGAAGACACGCCATCCTCCGTATCTGCAGATGTTGCGTCTGAAAACGTTACCAATGACATCTCAGCCTCACAAGCTGCTATTAATGGTGATGCCACAACTCAAGCACTAAGAAAAGCAGCTATGAAGCGATCCGGAATTAATGACGATGTAATATTTCTGTTTAACATGAGCTTTGAATGAATTATATTTTATATTGATTCATTTTGATTCTAGTGTGTTACCAAAGCGCCATCATCAAAACGAGCCTGTTTGGAGAACGGGTACGAGAAGAAGAACGGGAAGCTGGATAGTAGTCCGCTGAAGTTGAAAGAAACACGGGCAGAAAACGGATCGATGACCGCTGTCGCATGAAGCATTGACTGGTACATATCGTTCATTGATGTTTGATTCTTCTAGCGCCATCACTTGCCACGTGCCGCGTTTGTTCGCCTCAATCCAAAAATTTTGTAATCGCTGACGATATGTGTCTATCTGTGTATGTGTTTAGGTGTCTGTGCGTGTGTATACGTCTGTGTATACCTTTCATATACGTGGAACTCAATAACGGATGAGAGTTGTTTCGATAATAGAGCATCAGATGCGTAGCGTAGGTATTGTTGAATACCGGTAGGGCCTCCAGCGGTTGGCCCCTCTCAGTAAGGTCCTCGTTTGTCCGGTTCTTCTTTTCTGTTGTATTTTTTCTTTAATTTTTATCCGTTGTCTGTCCTTTTTTCAAACAGCTGCTTATGTCCGTGTATTTTGATTTACGGCTCGGGACAAATCATGTAAGTATTGCTGCTGTAAGGCCATTTAGGTCTGTATTGTGACAGTTCTAAATTGTACGTTTGAAGTCCCTTGAGATTGGCTATTGTTGTCAGGTTGTGTAACGCATGCGACACCATCGCTTATTCTGCCCCTATGCTTCTGTTCCTCTCCTATTCGTACACAAAATTCATTTCCGATCCGGTTACTGTTACTCGACCTGATCTAGCAGTAGGAGATATACGTAACCCTGATCCGTCGCTATTATCGGTCTTCTTCTTCATCATCATCGATGTCTATTCTTTTATATTTCGTGCACCTGGGATTGTCGGGTCAAGATTTCTATGTGAATGTGTGGTTTTGTATGCGTTGTTTATCTTCGGCGGGAACCGATCCGGCGAGGTACGGCTTCGCGTTGATCGTCCCTCGATAAACCTCAACTCAAGTCGTCCTTCCCTGTTTTATTCTAATATAAATTGCTCAGCCAATGCTGCTTTGTGAAGATTCAATTCCTTCCCTTTCCATTATTTCCACATATATAATATACGATGACTAATGATAAGGTGATGTTTTTTGTGTTCAACTCTTTTTTTTTTTAATTTTTTTTGTGCGCGTTTTGATTTCCGTGCTCTCTACTGCTGCTAACGGCGCCGTCTTATACTGTAAGTTATTACATTTTGAAACCAAGTTGCGTTGTTTAGAATCTCCTCTTCCTTCATGTCGTTCGTTTGGTTCATTCGTTCGTTCATTCGTTCTAGGGGCATACATGTTGATTAAATACTATTAACTTATGTATTTGTTGGCTACGTGGACCGCATGAGTTGCGCTGTGTATATTCTCTTCTCCTTCTCTCCGTATGATGTTTGTTTGAGACACATGTGTATGTTTCTCGAGTCAGGAATAAAAATGATCTATAAATTTTGTTACTTCAAACTAAAATTATGCATAGGTGAGGGTTCCTTACCCCCACAGTTTTCGGCGTATTACGCAATCTAAGCTCGTTTGTTATCACTAATTTTTCTTGTTCAAATTTAGTCTTCTATATTGATTTAGGGAATTATTAAAAGTTAGTGTTAAAGCGGCGTTGACGATTTACTGGTTACTTGCTATTGCAAGAGTTGGTCCAATGGATTGGATCAGGTTGAACAATCAGAGAAGGACAAAAGATTCGGAAACAGCGAAAGAAGGGTTCAGGTCTGTTGCATAATATTTGGAGTTTTCCGGAAATGTGATTGTCCAATTACTCCAATTTTAATGCTGTTGCACTATTAATTTGCATGGGAACTGTCTCGGGTTTTAATACCTTTTTAGAAATTCTATTTTTCTATTTTTTTTTCTTGAAATTCATTTACGTTCTGTTACACCACATCATTTGAGCGCTGCTTCTTTGGCTGTTTTGGATTTATATTCACTTACTTCATTCATTCTTATTCTTTTTTTTATATTTGGGGTGTGTACCAAATATTTTCTATGTGCTATGGAAATAGCAAGACTGATCGCTCATTGTACTTGTGTGATAGTAAAGAATTTACTGAGTACTAACCCTAGTAAGTCAGGGTCGCCAGAATGTTAAGGTGATTCGCCATTTTGTGGGTTATCTTAGCTTGCTCTTCACTGCTACTCAGCTGTAACAATGTCAAGGAAGCGTCGTTGTCAAAATGAGTACTAATACACAGGTAGGTATAGTATTTCGAGTGAAATGAGTAGGATGGCTAAAATGATTTGATAACAGTCAAGTTGCTTCATCGCTGTCCTTTACTATTGGCTAGTTTGCTGCGATTTTGAGAGTCTCATTCCAACGGTTGGATATTAGCGAATTAAGATCAATTCTATGATAAAGAGGTTTTACTCACTGCAATCGGCATTTCGTCAAAATATAAAACATTTATGAGGGAAACTTTAAAAGGCACTCATGTAAATTACGAGTTTAGACATCTACTGACGCCATCTTTGGTTTTTTTTCTCTTTCTTAGTTTGCAGTTAATGCCAGCCCGAGGTCGTCATGCCAATGACAATTCTCAGCTGAGATGTGGCGCCATCTGAAGTCTGAATTGTGTCTAATGATCGCCGTTGTCGCACAG